ATTTTCTTTCAAATATGGCAAATAAAAATATATTTAGAATTGAAAGAGATGACTACATGAGTTGGATTTCCATTGTGGCCCCTGAGTTTCCAGTGGCTGAGTTCTTTAAACATGCAGCAGTATTTTCTTCTTTATGCTTGATGCTCTAGTGTGTGACTGTTTGTTCCTTCTGATAGATTTACAGGATGTAATGGTTTGTGTTAAGATGAATAATGGCTTTCTAAATATCCTTTTATACTGTACTCATTGGTGTTCATTGGTAATTGGTTGGGAAATGTTTTGGATGTATTATATTTTGGGCATATATACATTGTGTATGTGTTTATTTGTGTATTAGGTACTCTTGGTTCCAACAGGTCTCTCTCTCTCTCTCTCTCTCTCTCTCTCTCTCTCTCTCACACACACACACACACACACACACGGCTTATGTGGTAGTATAGTTCTTTAAACAGTCTATCACTTCTGCTTAGTGATCACATTTTAATCACATTATATGTAAATGTATTTTTAAGTATGTGATCTTGGACAAATCCACATAATCTTTTTGTATCTTGGCTATTGATAAATTGAGACCAATAATATCACCTACCTCATCAGCCTGACTTTGGTGAGTGGATTAGTACACTTAAACCACTTAAGACTAACAATACTATAACCAGACATGTCAGAACTACACTGATCAGTCAGTTGTAACCATTGTTTGTTTTTTGTTTTTTTTTTAATGGATGCAAAATTGGTGAAAACATTCTCTAAGTATTGATTTGGTCTGTTGAAATAGCAGCAAATGATGTGTACATATTATTATATAAAAAATGATCTATACAAACTTTTTGTTAGTAGGAATTAGAGTATACTTGGGTGTGGCTACACATAGTATTTTGTTTTTAAATAGTTATCACTGAGTAACACTGCTGTCACTTTTGTCCCTTAGACTTATGGATGGTTCTCTAGCATATGGATAGTGTCTGGATTTAGCTTGTAGCAGATGCTGCTGGTATCATACCCAGATCTTCTTTACTGGGCCAGTGCATCCATCTCCCAGCTGCTGTGGCATTGGCTGCTAATGACTCACACCTGTAGCCTTCTCCAGAGAACTGCACTTGGCTGACAGTTATAATCACAACCAAATATGTTGGGAGATTTTGAGGTCAGGTCCCAGCTCCCTCCAGGTACACAGGGATGGCTCATAGCCAATAACTCTACAGGGGTGTGCAGTCCCCTTGCTTTTGGACTGAACAACTTCTGTGGTTCAAACCAAACTCTATGAGTTCCTTGGGGGATTAAGCTGAGGCGAAATATCTAAAGTCAAATCTTTACCAAGATTCTCCACTCCCCCCACTTAGCTTACTTCTTTCACTCTTGGCTTCTCTTGAAGCATTCTTTCTATAGTCAAGTGTACAAGAAAGAACATTTCAGACTCTGCTTCTGGGGAACCTGGCCTTAAATGTGGCTAATCTCAGTAGCTCTGTCATTTCCTTAGTTCCACAAGCACTTGTGTAATGGATTCCATGTACTGATTTCTCTGGGGTTTAAATTTCTTTTTCCTTTTGTTTTGTTTCCTTGGTTGGGTCCTTTCTGATATGCACCAACACTGTTCAGATCCCCGTGTTTGCATGTTTAAGGCCATTTACAATCAGATGCACTTGACACTTTCCTGTATCTAGTTACTTGACTACATTATAACAGTGAGTTAGCCCACATTTTAGAATCTGAAAGTTTCTGAACCTTCATCAATAATATGTCATCCTCTAATATAGATTATGATCTGTTTTTTCTAAAACACTGAGCATTGTGTGTGTCTGTTGCAGGCATTAATCTTTTAAATTATTTGTCCCACTCTGGGTGAGGTGCCTCCTGTCTTGCTCTGAGAGCACCTTGGTGGCAGTACTTTATTAAACTGTATTAGAACATCAGACTTTTCTATTCTCACAGAAGATACCAGCTTCTTGGTGTTACCCAGTAGTGTGTTGGGCTCTCCAGAGAAAGAAGAGGCCTGATGGGCAGCATTTACCTACTCCATTGTGAAAATACTCCTTCCCTGTCTCATTTTGAGCTGCTAGTTTGTCACTGAACATGGTGTTGGGAAGTACACAGTGGCCCTTGCCAGCCAGCATGTACCAACTCTAGTCTCCATTGTTTGGGTCTTTACCTTTAACAGTATGTCACACATGTTAGGTAAATGTTCAGTGCATAACTAAAACATAGTTATTCACTGATTAGGACTTATTATATGCAGCAAATTGGTAAATTCCTTATGTAATTTTTCTTAGATAAACAGTTTCATTCCTGTGTACATTACAGACACAGACATTCACACAGCCCATCCTGTTTGCAGACAAAAGAATGTAATGGGAGATGCCCATGCCCTTCCTGAGCAAGATGGCTACTAACTCAAATCCAAGTCCCAATTTTGTAATCCACATAGACACATCACTGAGTGTCACTCTTCACTTCTCAACCTCCATTTCCTCTTAGTGCCGAATTAGATAGCCTCAAAAGTTTCTTCTAATCTCAAAACTTTTATGAACTTCAATTACTTACAAGGGGGAAGCAAACTTTTGAGTTTTTCAGTGTGCTAATTATTGGAAACACACAGAGTAATGAGTATGTTCCCTGATGAGAATTGCACCTTGTCTCATCAACACTGTCAATGTGTTCATTGCCTTTGCTTCCCCCCATGGGAAATAAACCCAAATGGATTCACACAAATATTCCAAAGGCCAACATTTTAGAAGTTCACAAATTTTACTACTGTGACATATAAAATTATCATGCTAATAACATTCTAGATGAAGTTAAACAAGACCATCCAGCTCTTTGTCTTAGTCAGTTTTCCATTGCTACAACAAATTACAGACTGGGTAGTTTAAAAAGAAGAGGGATGTATTGCAGTTCTGGAGCCTGGGCTGAAGGTCTGCATCTGATGACGGTCATACTGTGTCTTGATGTGATAGCAGGCATCACATGATCAGAGAGATGGCACAGGAAAGCTTAGGTATCTCTTCCTCCTCTTATAAAGTTGTAATCTTACCATGTTACCATGGAGCCCTGCCTTTGTATTCTTTTTTTTTTTTTTTTTTTTTTTGTTTTTTTGAGACAGGGTTTCCCTGTAG